AGGCAAATAAGTTACCTCTCTTTTATTGTTCTGAAAACTTCAACTTATAATTAATTTAAAATAATTAATAAATTATAAATACCAATTTAGTTTATTGCTTATATACTTAAAGATGGCAAACCATGTTTATTTATATAATTCTTAATACATTTTAATATATGTAATACTGTAATAAACAAAATTGCAAAATTACTAATACATCAACTTAGTTTATAGATTTTTATAGCTAGTTCATGTTGTTAATAATGTGCATATAATAAATCTTATTTAGCTTGTCTAATATTATATATAGTTAGCCAAGCAGCTTGGCAAACTGGTATTTTACTAAAATTGTAATTAGTTATTAAATATGTTTTTTTTAATTTACTATTCAATATTCTAAGTCTAATATTAGCATCTATTATTTCTAAAAAACAAAAATTACTTTCTGATTAGGACAATGCTTTTATTTTACAATATTATTTAAAAGTCTTTTGTATATTAACATTTATAATACAATTCTTTTGATAACATTGATTTGTAATTTTTTTAAATATGTCTCATTATTCTGTTTTTCTAACCTTGTCAAAGACTTGCTTTTGTTTTTGATAGATGCTTGTACAGGTTTGAGTATATAAATTTTTTTAAACTTTTCAATTTGTCTTGAAATAAAAATATTATTTATATCATCTTTGTAACTTTCTTCAAATATTATATTGTTATTTATATTATCTTTTTAACTTTCTTTAGACATTATACTTTCATTCTTGTTATCTATATCATCATCACTATCACTATTATTCTTTAAATTATTAGTCTGATAAACTTATAAAGTTCATTTAGTTCATCATTTAAAGTTTTCAATTTACTATATGTTTCTAAAAAGATATTATTAAACAAAGAATTTTTAATTTTAGACATTAATAACAATAACAAGAAAAAGAAGTAAAAGCAAAAAGAAAAAAACATATCAGGTCATTATAAAACACTTTATATACCATGAAATTGTAATAAGAGTGCTTGTGCATTATTTTAATTATCAATATATTATTTCAAATATATATAAATCAATATGTGCATATGTCTAGATATTATTTATTATTTGTTATATTTGATATATATACTTTAAATAACATTAATAATATTTTATATAAATACTTATAAAAATTAAATATGCAAGTTGATTGTATGAATCTGTTTCTTCTAAATATGCTGTATCTGCATGTGCTTCATTTACATTCTCTTGAACTTAACAATTAAGTTGTATTCTGCCTTTTTAGTATATTCTAACATTTGATTATTATTCTTAACATTGTTTAGTTTATTCAAGTAGTCTAACTTCTAAACATATTTCTATATATGCATTAATATATAAATTCTAAAGTTTTCTAATCTTTATTAAATATTTTGCTTTTAATGTTAATCTTATTTAGCACTGTATTATCTTACTAATTACTCTTTACTTACTAATATTTTATTATCTTATCGATTACATAATTCTATTATTATGCTATATACACTTCCAATCAATTTATGTTCTCAAAAATATCATACTATATTAACATTTTCATTCAGAAATGCTACATCATTATTGAATATTTAATCACTTCATTCATCATCTGGAACACTGCAATATATATTGTAAAATGATTGCTTCATACTTTTTTTAACCTTAAATATTATAAAGAAAAAAGTTTTTTTACAATTTGTACCACTTTAGTATGTTTAGCATTTATATTATTTAGATAATATAACTTGACCTTTATTTAAACATCTAACAACTTGCATTACATATCTAATTTTCTTCACTAATCTTATTCTTATTGTCCTTTCTATTGGCTTTAGTTGTACAAACACAAGGTACTGTACACATCAATTCCAATATCATTATATAATTTCAGATATCCTTTTTTTTATTTGCTATTGTGCCTTATTAATGTCTAATGTTTCCTTCATTTATTTGTTCATTTTTTACTCATTTGTTCATTTATTTATTTGTTTGTTCATTTATTCATTTATTGTTTATTCATTTATTTATTTGTCTGTCTGTTCATTTGTTTATTCATTGTTCATTTGTTTGTTTGTCTGTTCATTTATTCATTTATTTGTTTATACACTGCACTTGGTTTTTTTAATCACTTGAATTTTAATGAGCAAGACCTTAGTCTTACTCAAATCCTTAGTATTATGGCATTATCAGTGCTTCCAGCACTGATCTAAGTTTTTACAGGATCTTTGTCTGGATTGCCTAAGTACAAACTTTTATATTATGGTTTTCTTAAGTATAAAATAGTTCAATATTATATTAGACTTTAAGTTAATAAATTAAGATTAAGCTATAGAAGTTCTGTCTTATTGGCTAATAAATTTAATTTAATTTTACATTATTTATACAATTTAGAATACTTTTTTAAAAAAATGTAAACCAATTATAAAAAGTAAAAAAAAACATATAGAAGGTTTTATTAGAGCTGTAGAACTCTATAGCTAAAAATAAGATCTATGTCTTGTCTGTTTAAAAAAATTAATATAGTAATAACTTCTATTACTAAGCTAATTTTTTTAAACAGATGAGAATTAGATCTTATTTTTGGTTATAAAGTTCTACAGCTCTAATAAAACTTTCTATGCAGTTTTTTTTTTATTTCATTATGATTAGTTTTTGTTTTTTAAAAAATTACTTTAAACTGTATAAATAATATAAAATAAATTAAATTTATTAGTGAATCAGACAAACTTCTGCCTATACAAATTGCTAGAGCGATCAATTTACATTTCTGAACTGATCTCTGAAACACAATTTTTGTGTAACTATAGAGCAAAAACTTTAATATCTTAAAATTTTAATATGCTAATTAAATTTTATTCTTAATTGAAAAATAATCAACATATTGAATTCTATTATTTTATTGAAAAATTTTAATTTTAAAAAATTTTTAATTTGCTGATTTTTACTGACTCAATCCTATATAAACAATTTTGAACAACATCTAAAGAATAACACTGAACATAATCAGCAGCATTGTATATTTAGGAAGAATTTTTAAGCAACCCAATATCCCACGAAGCATTAATCTGACAACTATTGCACTACTTGCTTTGCCTTGCAAGAAGACCAATTAATCCAGTTTATCAATTTTTGAAAGTGGTTCAGTTTAGCCCAATCAGCCTTTTCATATACTAAGATCTTTTTGATATGTTTTAATGTTTTTCATAATTTTCTATTAAAAACTTTTCTGAAACTTTGTTAAGAAGATTTCTCTTTAGTTTTTGTTATTATGAACAGTCTGACAATTATTCAACCTTATTAAATAAGTTCTTGACTTTTTATCAAGAAACAAATAGATTTCTAAAAGACCTGTTTAAAGATATCTATAATTTTAGTAAAACTTCTGATAACAATACTAACTATATTAACAAATTTTTTGATAACATGGCTCAGAGAAACAACAATGCTACTAACAACTCCAATAACCCTAACAACACACCAAACCCTATGAATAATCTTGTTAACAGATTGAAGTCTTGATAACACAAATGCAACAAGTCTCTGCATCTCAAATTAATGATGCTTCTCTACAAGTCAATATTTCTCAAATTAATATTCTAGCCCAAAACTGAGAGCTTAACATAGTCTCTTATATAAGTTCTCAAAAAAAGAACAAAACCCCATCAGCTAGTTAAAGAATGTAAAGAAAGCCTTTAAAGATAATCAGGTCCAGAACAATCACAAGATTTTTGTTGTTATCCCCAAACTCAAAAGTGCTATCCTACATAGTGAATTACTATCAAAAACCAGCTCTAGCTTGTTAATTGGCAGAATGATGCTCAGAATTCAGATCTAAGTTTCAGGCCTATATTTATTACCTATTTTAGAATCTTTGCATCAAAAAGCAAATAGTTTACTTAATTGACATAATGGAAATTGCTTCTTACTAAAGATGTAGATGTTATCATGTCACTGTTGAGAAACTTTTACATTGAATAAAAGCTGGAAGGTATTACTATCCTGATACTACCAAGTCTTAAATATTTATTAGTAAACTGAGGCCCAACTTGGCTGCTTCAGTAGCTTACTTTTTGTCTGAACTCTTGCACTGCTTATAAAAGAGCAAAGGCATTTAAAAATGACTTTAAACAAAATATTGCTAACAATAATGCTTCTTTTGACTTTTTCTTTTTCTCTTCTTAATATATACCTCCTTAGGTACTACTATAATAACCAAACCTAACTGAAGAAGTAATAGTTAAATTGACCAAAGCTGCTAATAATATGCTAGATCAGTTAAAAGATCCTCCTAGAAGAAATTAAAATAATTAAAACAATGGACCTCATGAATCTTGTTTTATTTGTAGGCACAATAGACATTTTTCTAGAAATTGCCATAGTCCTCTTAGAAAAAACAACAATAGAGATATTAATTTAGAAAATAATCAAAATCCTCTTAATCATACTAACAATTAACAAACCAACCAACCTAATAATTAACAACCTAATCAGATCTATATTGGCTCTTGAAATGCTAAGGCCCAAATAGCCTTGCAGAACTTGTTAAACCTGATGAACCCAACACCACAAGAAAACAAAGCATAGAATTTCTTAAATATCTATAAGGAGTTTTTCTTATATAGAACTAGAAAGAACCACAATAGCCTATTATAAGGATCAAACATCAACATATCTAAGAAGATTTTTCTCAAAAGGCACAGTTGCCTGAGGTAGTTGAGGCTTGCACAGAACAAGCTAAAACAGTAGTAGTCTTAAAAAGATTAAAAGAGCTATATTAGGCTCCAGTGGTTTATAGAAAAAGAACTGAAAATAAACCTCTACAAATTCTGCTCTTGTATTATTTTATTTTATTGTGACTAATATTAAAGACAAGCCAGCTAACATTACTATTGAACAATTACTGAAGGCTGTTTCTTTCATATGTACAAAACTGTCAAAAAGTCTTTAAAAAAAAAAGCTATCAAAAAGAAAAACCTGTGTCTTTGTAAATCTCCAACCAACTACTCAAGTTATGATTCTTTATTGTGACACTTCAGTTGATAGAATGGTTATTTCATTGATTATTAATAGTGGGTCTTCTGAGAGTGTCATTTTAATCTTTTTTTTTCAAGAAGTCAGTATCAAGATTAAGAGACTGTTTACTGTCAACATAATTAACAGACATGAACAAAGCTAAAAAGCTATTAGAGAAATATCTAATTTTTTATTTATAGTAGGAGAAATGAGAGTTCTTATTAACATAGTTATTACTGATATTACTTCTCATAATGCCATTATAAGAAATAATTGGCTTTCTAAAATCAATGTCAAAATTAATTACACCAACTCGGAGATAAGTTTAGTTTAGAAAGATGAAAAGGTGGTCATTCTTATAGAATCTTGTAAGCTCTAGCAAGCTCTTCTTTAAGAAGGCCATTCTACTAAAACTATAAGGCCTAAAGAAGAATCAGATTTTAATAATAAAAAGACTAAAAGCAAATCAAAGAAAAAGAATTAGAGAACTAAATTTTTGATTACTTAAAGAAAATGATGACTATGGTAATATTTATTCACAAGGGCAAAGTATTCATAAGGCCTGATAGAATTTGAATAGTGATGATAACTATTCCAATAAGAATGGCTCTAACTTCAATAACAATGTACCTAAAAAGGATCATAATTTCTACTTCAATAAAATTGAAGAATTTTTATATGAGCTGAATGTCAGTGAACTTGACCTTGAAGTGTGATCTGTTGAACTGATTGTTGTTATTATATGACAATATCTTTGTCTGAACTTTACAAACTTAGAATGTACTAACTTAGTTATCTATAGAATTCATATTGGTAACACCTTCTATAAAACAGAAGCATTATTGTATCTTCTTTAAGGAAAAGGAGTTTTTAAAAAAGAAAATCAATTGTATGCTAGAGGAAGATGTAATACAATCATCTAATAGCCCATGGGCTTTTCTTATCATTCTAGTTAAACAAAAAGACAAACCTTGTTTTTGTATTAGCTATCATTAATTAAATACTATAACTAGAAAGAATAGTTATCTATTATCTTATATTGATGATCTTTTTAACACTCTATTGAATTCTGCTTGGTAACCTTTCTTGATCTTGCTAGCAATTATTGGCAAATTGAAATGCATTCTAATGATAAAATGAAAACTACCTTTACCTTCCAATATGGTATCTATGACTTTAATGTCATATTATTTAGACTGATGAATGCTTCAGCCACCTTCCAAAAACTAATAGATACTCTTTAAGAAATATTAATAACAAGTTCATCATTATATATCTGGATGATATCAACATCTTCTCTTCATATTTAACAATCATCTTTAATACATCAAAAAGGTCTTTTAGCACCTCAAAAATGCAGGTTTACAGCTGAGTCTCAGCAAATGTTTTTTTGCCAAAAGAGAACTTAAGTTCTTAGAATACATTATAGGTTCTAACTATATTTCTACTAATTCAAAAAAGGTTAAAGCCATTTCCAACTTTGAAGAACCTTTGACAATTGTACAGTTCTTGAATCTGGCACCATATTACTAAAGGCTTATTTTTGATTTTTCAAAAATTATTACTCCTCTTAATCTTCTATTTAAAAAAAAACAATAAATACCTGTAGTTTACTAAACAAAAAATGGCTTTTAAAACTTTAAAGAACTGACTTGTGATGGCTCCAATTCTAGCTTATCTGAATTTCTTCAAAGAGTTTCTTTTCTTTACTGATGCTTCAGAGTTAGCTCTTGGTGCTATACTCTCTCAAAAGGATGACCAAAAGAGAAAAAAGATTATTTATTATGCTAGTAGAACTATGACTAATGCAAAGAAAAATTACTCAGTTACTGAACAAGAATGTCTAGCTATGGTGTGATCTGTATTGTACTATCAACAGTATCTTTATGGGTTCTACTTCATTTTTATTACAGACTATTCTGCTCTTAAGTCTTTGTTAAAGAAAAAACTTCTTCAAAAAAGGCTTGCTTATTGGATCTTTGCTTTACAGGAATATTCCTTCACCATTCTTCATCATGTCAGAAGGCAGTACTTAAACATTGATAGTCTTTCCTGTTTTACTGAACTTTCCAACCAACTCTTTAAATTTTGAATAATCATTACACTTCCATTATCTATTACTTATTCTTTGTTATTCTTTTCTTATATACCTAACATTTTATATTTTTTTTATCTTTATGAAATCTTAAACTTATCAATCCTATGTTTATTATTTAAGTGAACCTAATTTTACACAATATTTTGATTTCAAATAGTTAAATTGTTTAAAACAACAAACAAGACATTTATTCTTAATAACAATATACTATACAAGAAACTCTGAAAAAAGCTCCATCAACTTCTATAAGTCTTATTAGCTTATAAAACTAAAGCTATTCTTTTTAGCATGCACTCAGATCTCTTAGCAGAACATTTCAATTATTTGTCTACTTTCTAATAGATTGCTTTTGATATTTTTGGCTTCAAATGGATAAAGACATCAAAAAATACATCAATGCATGTAACACTTGTTAATGGATAGGTTATTCTAAAATTTGTGAACTTCTTCATTTTATTAAGCTAGGATTGCTTTTTTTTTTTTTGTTATAAGTAGCAATCTTGCCTGTCTGTCTTTTATTAAGTAATATCTAGTTATTAATGAATACATAGTTTATTAACGAAAGTATAACTAGCCATACATATAACTTTAGTAATTATCTAATTAAGGGTTCTGCCCGAGGGTTACCTACTAGCTACTATTCCTGAGATCTGTCTGTGAATCTCCTATTTAAACTTTCTGATTTTTAATCCTATGCATTACAACCTTCTATTACTACATGGACATACCAGGTTAGAGCTATCTAATTACTATTTATATCAAGAGCCACTTTATTGAATGTTACTGAGTATTCATAGTCCTTCGAATTTACCCTCGATGCAGACTTACTAAGTATGGTACCAAGATTACCCCCCTTAGATTTTATCCATATTAGTGTATCTCATATCTACTAAACTGGTTTTGGTGCCAGAGATATTCGAGTTTCAGTAAGTCTATTCCTTTCTCATAGTTTCCTTTTATGTTCACTGTATCACTCGCTAGTGTACCTTCTCTCCATTTCTGGTATGTTCACCACTTCTCTCATATCAAGCCCAACTCTTCATATTGGGAAACTTCTTTCTGGGAACTTTCTTATATACTGATCTTCTATTCACATGGACTTAAGCCACAGGGCTTTGCATATATTTATATGCTTCCATAGATTACAGAGTTTTGCCTCCAGCTGGAATTGAACCGTCGACCTTGTCTGTGAAGGGAGGGGCACCTAGACCACTAGGCTATGGAACCCCATCCTTTAAGCTAGGATTGCTATTTAACAAAGTCAGAATTAACTTTGTAAGGCCACTGGTTTCTATTCAAAATGGCAACTATTATATCATTATCATTACAGAGTACCTTACAAAGTAGCCTGAGGCTTGTGTCATATCTGATATAACAATGCTCTTAGTAGCTTTTTTTATTGTAAAAGTATTATTTGTTGTCACAGGTGTCTCAAGGTACTTCTATTGGACTAAAAAAACATTTTGCCAATTATATTCTTGACATTATCTGTGCCTAATTACAATTTTATCATTATTATTCCACTATTTATTATCTTTAAATCAATAGATTAGTGAAGTATTTTAATTGAATGTTATATGAGATGTTAGCCAAATGTACTATTTAATTTTTTAGAGACTGGAACCAATATATAACTCCCATGTTATTCATCTATTGAATCACTAACTATTCCAATACCCAATATAGTCCATTCTTTTGCATATATGTAAAAGATGCCATACTTCTGACAGACATTATAACTTTAGACTCTAACTCTTCATTAACTAATAAGATGGAATTGCAAAATAACTTTATGAAATATATAGAGGTCTTATTAGAAGAGCTTTCTAGAGTACAAAAAGAGGCTCAAAATAAGATTAAGATAGCCTAACAAAAGCAACAGAAGTGACATAATTAGAAATTCTTAATTGAAAACTATTCCATCAGAGACTAAGTTCTAAGAAATCATTCTGAACTTTAAAGAACACATAAGGAGAAGTTAGAAAAAAAATAGGTCAGAGCTTTCTTTATATATGATGTTCTAAAGAATTAAGTATATAAGCTATAGATTTTTGAAGATAATATTTTGAATCAAAAGGTTCATAGTAATTGTCTTAATTATACTATCCATCATTCGAAGAAGACTCAGATGCAAATTAACTATCTTAGGAGCTCAGAATTTAAGAAAGAAAATTTGGTACTAAATTTTTTTTTCGTTACACTTGTTACAGAATTGACTAACCATATTTGTTGTTTCAATTAGTTACTTTTCTTTCTTAATTAGACTGTACCTTAATTCTAAAATTGTCTATTCTAATATTTATCTATCAATTTCTATATTTATTATCTTTATTAGTTATCTCTATTATTTAAATTGATTATAATTCATTTCTATATATATCTATTATTTTACATGTTTATCATCTTCTAAATTTTTCAATGACCATATTGATGGTTATGCAAAGATTGTTTTCTTTAGATTAGATATAAGAAGAATTGTTATATGACCCCATTATAAGACATGGTTAAAGAATAGTTATGTGATTGATTGTTAAAGATATTATTGAAGAAAGTATAATCATTAATAATATTTGACAGGATGGAGCATTTGTAATATAAGATGAAAGGATTTAATTAATTATTTTAAGCATGTATTTCACAAGGCAAAACAAAAAGCATTTACTTATTATCATCTTTGGTCAACTTGAGAATTCTTTTGTACATCTTGAAAAGGAAAAGATATAAAAATCCTTTCTGTTTGACCTTCAATAAAGTCTTCAGATTTTTACAATCTCATTAAAACATAAAAACATATAAATTAGTAGACAATTTTAAGCTGAAAGTAATTTATACATCCGCAACACACATAAATCTTAGAATTTTTATTAAAAGTCTTATTGTGAATTACAAATCTGCGTGCTTGCACTATTACTTTAATCAACCAATCAATCTTAAAATTACATTAAGGATTGATAACATTAATAAATCAAACTCTTAAGTTACATAATCGCCTTATTGATATTATTATTAACTACCCTGTTGATACATTACTTGATCCCTTGTTCTACAATATCTACTTAATTAACCCCATCTATTTATATCCATCACTAACAACCGCTTGATCTCGATTTCCCCACATTTCGTTAATACGAAATATCCCTAACGACTCCATACTTAATTACCCGATACCCCTCTTCACAGTATTATCCTAAATTAATCCGGCATAACACCCATCATTGCTCTCCCCAAAACAGATAGTAACACTGTATCTAATTGCTGTAAATAATATATGCTGTAATGTATTACGGCATTACGACTCAAAAAAATTATGGCGAATTATCAAATTAATTCTACCAACAACTATAGCCATACTGTATCTCTAATTTTAGTAAATCAGCCAATTAGATTGCAAAAAAAGATGTGGGATTCATAAGGATTCAAAGAATATGTTATAAGGCGAAGCGAGAGTATTAATTCATCCGTTAAAACTTATTCTCGTTTCATAGAAAGTTAAGCTACCTGAGCTTTTAAAACAAGTATCGTAAAATGGTTAAGAATTTGAACAGTTGCTCCTATATAATAAAATATATTACTAAAATTTTCAAAATAGTCCTATATTTTGGCAATTTACGGTACTTAAGAGAAAAAATTTTATAAATTGCCGTAACTTTACGACTTTACGTACGCCGGAAATCACTAAGTGAAGAACAACTTCAAGCACGTTATACATATATGCAATTTTATAGTGCATATTTCAAAGAAAGAAAATTTAAACAAAAATAAATTGAGATAATTTATTAAATAAGAATATATATTTTTACAATGATAATACAATAAAAAAGTTTTTATACAATGATAATACAATAAAAAAGTTTTTATACAATAACAAATCATTATTTAATAATAAATAATGACTTCAAAATATTTTAACTTATTATGTTCATTATGAAAAAGATTCGTAGAATCTTTGACCAAAGCTTCACATCTGGTTACATTTATCTCTTAACCCAATCTTTATCTTCGTGATGCTCATTTTCATATCTATAATGTTCTTCGTGTCCAGGATCTCTCTTACGCCAATCTTTATCTTCGTGATGCCCATTTTCATATCTATAATGTTCTTCGTGTCCAGGATCTCTCTTACGCCAATCTTTATCTTCGTGATGCCCATTTTCATATCTATAATGATCTTCGTGTCCAGGATCTCTCTTACGCCAATCTTTATCTTCGTGATGCCCATTTTCATATCTATAATGATCTTCGTG